ATATTTAATGCGCATCTTGTCAGTAAAGCCGGTTCTGTAATCAGCGGTAAATCTCCATCACGTGCGTGCTTTCACTGATTACAGAACCGGCTTTACTGACAAGATGCGCATCAAATATCGCATGCGATTTATCGTGCAGCCCTAATCTACATCTTGTTTATGATGAGAGAATTCGTGTGAGAGCTGAATTCAGTCAGCGAGCGCCGTGCACTGAACACAAACTCATCTGAACGCCTCTGATTGGCCATTGCATTCATAAGCTCAACAGACTCGTGTGTGATTGGTTATAATGCGCAACACTGTAAAAATGCATAAAAAAATCAACACTGAGCAGATCTAAATTTAATGCTGTGGTTAACGCTTTTCATTTCATTTGCATTTTATTCGTGACAGCCGTAATGGATTTAGTTTAACTGTACAGCAGCATTTATGTCTGTGTGTTGCCATAGAAAAGCGGAAACTGAGGATATGCAGATATTACATCGTTGATTGGCGACAATGACCAGGGACGAGTTATTGTTTAAAATTGGAATTTCTCTGGATTTACAAATAATACATAATGGAATAACATAAATACACAACTGCATAAAATATATAACACTGTGCAAGTAGTTTTTGGATATTTTATTACGAAATTCTTACATATTGTAACTTTAATAGGTACGTTTACCCTAATCGTTAGATTTTGTTTTAGGTCACATTAACAACGCTGCTGCTAAAGCCAAAGTAAATTATTTAAAAATTATCTGAAGAAATTTTTCTTTGCATAGTTTCGACAGCAAATTTTTTTTCTACCCACTAACAGCAGATGTATAAATCTATAATAATAAAAATTGATTTTTTTTTTTCTATTCTTTACTGTTTTAAACTAGGGCTGTCAGTAGAATAAAGTAAATGTGGTTAGTTTTTTGATTTCTGACCAGACGTGTTAAACTGAAAATTTCTCTAATTGTCCTGGCACCCTAGCAACCCCTTATGGCCCCCAGTAACCCTAGTTTTAAAATGTGTTTTTTGATGTCCATAGGTGTAGATAAACACCCCTTTTTTTGGCACTAATGGTTTGGGACTGTCATGTTCATGTGGAGCTATCAGCCAATCTGTATTTTCATGATGTCATTTTTCTTTGGCTCCAGAGTAATTAGTCACATGGCAATTATGATTATGTCTAAAGATGATTAGCCCCAAATTTTCTGTCCCTTGAACAAAGATTGCCTATTTTGGAGTCTAGTGTCAGCTGAACAGCTGCATTAAAATGCAATATGAATGTGATTTTTTTCCAGGTAGACCTAGTGGAAATCGTTTGGGAGAGGGTTAAAACTTTAATGGCTACGGGCCAGCAAATGATGGGTTGGATGTTGGGACTGAACCCTGTGCTTTGTTTGAACTTGCTTGATATATGTGGTTAAATCCTCTAAGCAGTATTTTGCCTGTATCTGTATTTTGTCCCTTTCATAATTAAAAAAAAAAGTATCTTTCCCGCTCTTTGTGGGTTTTCACTTACTTCGTCTTTTTTTCTTTTCTTTTCAGTGAAAAAGGCCAAGCTCCAAGGACCTCCAGGTAATGGACTGTTCATTGGACGCATCATGCGTGAAACAGTTGTGGCTCTACAATTACCCTAGACTCAAAGAGGAAAAAATAACACATTCAGTCAATTGTCATTCACATGAGGTGCTTGAATCAGACTCATGCTGCGGCCCAGTTTGGCTTGGACTGGAGAGACACCGTGAACTGTTTTTCTTGTTAGCCAGCAGGCAAGCACTAGACTGCCAGGGGATTTTCACTCTTCTATAACAAACATTGCACTCTCTTCCCAGGAGAGATACAAACACTCACACATGTAAGTGTATGTCTTTTAATGACTGAACCTTAGAATTAGCCCAAATGATGCCACACTTCAGCTTTGTACACTGAAACAGGAACTGGAACAATTCTTTCATCCTCCATTACTAACAGCAAACTATATTAACGCTAACATTAGTGGCGTGCCTCAATGCTAGTATTTCCTGTCACTGTTTAAGTTCAGAGATGAAGACTGCTATCTAGCGGTCAGGATATAAACTCAAAACGAAACAACTGCCATGAATCTTGTATGATTTTTTTTTTAAATATCGATATTCCGTATTTAAGTATTGATACAATATCGCCAAACAAAATATCGCGATACTCACGTGTATCGATATTTTCTAACACCCCTAATAGATATAGATTGTAGGGACAAATTTATGGTAAATAAATCTATATGGGTACATAAGTATCTTTCAGTCTAACCGATGAATCTATTTGAGAAGCTAATGAGCTAGTGTTTTTGTCTCTGTCTGGCATTCTGTGTTCTTATTGACCGTGTCTGGGTCTTCTCATTCTCTCTGTGTCACCCACACCATGAATATCTGTTTCTACTTCATCCTGCATCATCCATTCATCTATCCATCTGCTAAGTTCCTTAAAGGTGAACTCTGTGTCTGAATATGTCTACTTCCATATTATATACAGTAGTATGTGAGAAACAGTATGCCAAAAGTGTAGTATGTCCAATTTAATATTTAAAAAAACAGTAGGCGAAAAGTATCTGGATGACCTATTAGAGTGCACATTCGACAGACACTTTACTATCCCATGAAGCCACGGGAGAGGATTGTGAATGACTGACAAGCTACTCAAAATCGCGTTCAAAATCGATTATGAACGCGATTTTGAGTAGCTTGTCAGTGAACTACGGCTCTGTGTAGTAAATGCCGCTCCACCTGAAAGCACGTGCTGGAGATTTACTACTAATCACAGAACCGACTTTACTGATGAGATGAGCATGAAAATTGCATTCGATTTTTTTGCACAGCCCTACAAATAAGTAAATAATAATAATAATGAATAATAATGCAATAAAACTGCTGTCATATCACGTAAAGTACCACATGCAAAGTTTAAACTTACCACTGAGAAACGTCCTGAACAAGTCATGCTTGCGATGGAGTTTCCGGTTGAGCGACTGCATCAGTATCATCCTTGAACTCGGGCTCGAATTGATTAGGTAATATCGATGCCATTTTTTGTAACCTTATAGCATATTTGTTTACAAGTAACCCTCCGGAGCAAAAAATTTATTATGGTAATGGGCGTTTCGTATCCGACACGCATTGTATACAGAAAGACCAATCACACAACAGACTTGGCCAGCTGACCAATCAGAGCAGAGTAGGCTTATGGAAGGGAGGGGTTTACAGTTCTTTAACTCAGAATTTTTAGTTTACAGATTTTAACTTTAAAATCATTGAAAAATGATTATAATATTAAATGTATATTCTGAGAAAATTACAATGTTTTCTGACCTTAGATGCATTTAAACCTGTTGTAGGGGACTCCAACACAATATTAGGACACTTTAAAATACCATATGACCTGCTCTTTAACTTTACTCCAAATATATGAGCTTACCTGTTTTAAATACTTTTATATTTAACGTGTTAATTTATGTCCAATATTTAGTGTTAAACTGTTGGTCTTTAAAATAAATCTACTTTTGATTTTTACAGTTGACTGATTTTGCAGACCTTTCAGACTGATAACGTCCGTGTGCCGATGCGGCAAACTTGTCACAGGACATGCGGTCCTAATAGCCATGTATGACTGTTGTATCTGAATATATATGAACTAGCTGTTTTAAATATTTTTATATTTAACATGTTAGTTTATTAGTATGTTCGAAAGTATGTTATTCCGATTATTGGTGCTTTCATGGGCTCTCTCCCTGCGTGGTTTAAAACACCACATAGTTATGAAATAGCCTATGACAAGTACAGAGAGTCTCTCTCTTGCCCCCACTCACCCACGCACGATAATATCGTGTATCGGCGATCTCACAGGCTGGCGATATGACGATTTGAAAAATGACCATATTGCCCAACACTAGTGACAACATGGCAGATGTAGTATGTCCAAATTTCATCCATACTACCCATATTCATACTACATAGAACATACTTTTCTAACAGTCACAAAGTAAGTTTCAAACCAAATGTAGCACAACAAGACAGTATGCTATTTTGGACACAGCTGAAGTGCGTTATTTCCCCACAACTAGCAGCATCAAAAAGAATTGCAATCTGTTTGTTTGAGCGGCCCGACTGGGCTAAACATAATAACATCAGTTCAACCAATGGCATGAGTTTGGGGCAGAACTACCTGTCCAGCCATTGGCAGATGGGGAGTATTAAAACTTGTTTGAAGACAGTCACTATTTCCGTGATTCTCTTTGGTGCTGCTAGTAGTGCAGAAATTATTTATCTGAATGTATGCATGTATGTATGTGTATACAGTATTTATATATATACATGTATGTATATATGGTGTGTTTTAATTACTGGATGAGACCATCATAACTGCATAATTCATGATCTCTCGATTGACCTCATGTAGAGTGACTATTCCATAAATGAGACTAAGATCACAGAGAGAGAGAGAGAGAGAGAGAGAGAGAGAGAGAGAGAGTGTGCAGCATGCAGCAGCAGCAGAGCATCAGTCTGTGTCTGACTCCCAAATGAACAGAGGTCTGTCTGAGTGACAGAGAAGCCCATAGAAATCTAATCTATTGCTAATAACAGAAAAAGCCTTTCCAGCCTCTTCTCAGAGTGTCCCACCCACAGCACAGAATTCAATACTGTGCTAGAATCAAATGCAGTTTGACTCCAATAAGATTCTATTATCTTTGCCGTAGAGGGATTCTTATTGAAAAGTGAAAGTTTAACAGCTGGTGAAGCTTAATTGCATCAAATGAGGAAGCCTATTATTGAGACAGGGTGTCTAAATTCCTGTTTCTGGGCTTCTAAACTTTTCTAAACACGCATTTGGTTTTCGTCTGAAGATATTTCATTTTTCTTTTATATTGATGGCTTGCATGATATTTATCATGATGTGCACACTACCATTCAAATGTTACCATTCAAATTATTATTATTATTATTGTTTTTAAAGAAGTCTCATATCATCCATACCAAGGATGCATTTACTTGACCAAATATACAGTAACAAATACAGTGAAATATCAGTGTCACATGACCCTTTAGAAATCATTTTAATATGCTGATTTGGTGCTTAAGTAACCGTTTTTATTATTGTTGAAAACGGTTGTGCTGCTAAGCTTCTTATTTTTGTGGAAACCATGCTACTTTTTCAGGATTATTTGTTAAATAGTAAGAGACAATAAAGTTATTTATAATGTAACAAAAGTTTTCAATTTTAAATAAATGCTTTTTTTCACTTCTGTCAGTTTAATGTATCCTTGCTGAATTAAAGTATTTATTTAAAAAAAAGTCTTACCGACCCCAAACTTTTCATTATATAGCAGTATGTAATGTGGTAAAATCATAAAATAAGATTTGATTAACTGGTGCTCTGTTATATGGACTAGATTTATTGCAATATATATATATATATATATATATATATATATATATATATATGTGTGTGTATGTATTACGTACCGCACCTCTCGGTACTCTGTGCTCCTTTTCTTTATCTGTGTTCGCACAAACGTTCACTATGCTGTGGTTGGTGTTTTTGTTACACAAACAGAAACAACAGCCGACATTAGGGAGGCCCTTGCTGTGTTTAGGGAGTGGAACCCTGATTGGAAGCCAAGCCACTTTATGGTTGATTTCAGAGAGGTGGAAATTGGTGTGCTGGAGGCAGAGTTCCATGGTAATAATTAATCATTAAAGAAGTCTTAGCTGACATGAGTACTTTTCAACAGGCTTTGTATCATTACAATTGTTGTAGTATACGAAAATTAACAATGTTAAACTTTGCTTCATGTTGCCTGCACGCAGAAACTGGCAGTGCATGTTGGTTTTGAGTTTCAAAATAGGCTACTGCATACTACACTGTTTCTTCCTATGCTCATCGGACCTTCCTGGTGTATAAATACCTGTAACTTAATGTGATAGGCTATATTACTGGGACCACGACAGACAATTGCAGTTGAACATTTAATATCCAGGTATTCATATTATAGACACTACCACTGATTACCAATGTAACAATTTGTCCACAATTTCGCACACCCATACATGGCCCAGTCTATAGTAGGTTTTAACATAGTCTTGTTCATAATTGCATAATATGAACTGCATTGTATATTTCTAATGTAATGTGTATTGGTATGTTTGTGTTCTCTCCAGAGTCCAAAGTCCTCCTGTGCGACTTTCACAGAGAAAATCATGTGTGGAGTGGACCAGGAAAAAAGACAATGGATGCCATGAAGAGGTGCTCCCTCTTGTCAGGTCTATTGCAGACTCACCCACAGAGGAGGAGTTTGCGCAGTGACTCCTTCTGCTCCAACAAAGCAAAGCGTGGCAGGAGAATGAGAAACTGAGGAGGTGGATGTCAAATAAATGGCTACCCCACACCAAAGTAAGCATATCTCCATGCTGTTATGGTTAGACTCGGGGTGCGATTTGCCGGGGGGTGGGGTCATTTTGTGACGCAATGGTTTAACTGATCCGGAGTTTCAAAAAGCTCTGTTGATACTGTTCTTTTCTCTCTTTCTCTATATAATTTATTCGTTG